ATAAAAGGAAATATAAATCAAATAATCATGCCAACGTATAAATAATTTCCAGCTTTGATAAATGATGGGAGAGAAACATGGTTTTCTGACAAACAGCTTGACTTAGGTTTTGGGGTCGGTGAGAACTTTTTTGAAGTAGTGACAGTTGATGTGATGACCAAACTATGAATAGAAATTAACCACATAAAGTCAGAATGGAGATAGATAATCAATTTGGATAAAGAAATAGGATATACAGTGAACCATCTTTGCTATGGAAACATTCGAACAGAACCCTCAATTAAGTGAGGAAAACACAATACTGGTGTCAAGTGTAAGCCGTTTTAGATAAGGGGACAAAAAAACACATCTGGGGGAGAGCTTCTTTGCTCTTCTTGAGAAGTAGCAAGGGGACAGAGTGATGACGTGCTGACCACTGAGAGGAATTATGGCACAAGACCAGGGAGACAGGAAACAAGATGGCAGAGGGATGGGAAAAGAAGAGAGGCACCCAAGGACTGTGTAAGGAAAGGCTTAGAGTCTTCCAAGAGCCTGGGTAGCTAAGGAAGAATTGTGAATGGATCATTGACTTGGTCAGATTAACATTTTAAGATAATTACTTTGCTTGCTCTTTGGAAAAGACTCTGAGGCGTCAAAATAGAGTAGAGACACTAGTTGGAATGGGGGGATATTTCAACGTTCCAAGCCAGAACTGGTGGTACTATTAGATGTGTTGAGAAGTGATGGGGCTTTCATGTACATTTTGAAACTAATTAATCAGATTAGCTGATAGAAGACGTGAGAGAGATGTCTAGAATGACTCCAGTTTTTAGCCTATGCAATAAGAATGGAAATGACATTTACTGAAAATTCAGGGAGAGGATTCGAGTTAGAGCTGATGGATGGAAGAAATCAAGAGTTTTTGAGAATGTAAAAATTTGAAATGCATATTACATCTTTGAGTGGAGATGCTGAGAGGGCAGTTTAAAAAATTTTTTTTTGTTAACGAGCCTGAAGTTCAAATAAGAGGTTCTAACTGAATGAATAATTGAGGAGGAAATAATTATTTTATGGGATCTAAAGTCATATTGGTAAGATGGGAAATAACCTAAGGACTAACCACAATTGGAGGAGAGCTGTGGTACACTCCAATATCATATTTAGAGTTTGCCAATATAGGAAAGATCCAACAAAGGAGACCAGAAAGGAGAGAGAGCATTGAGGTCCAAGAAAAACAAAGAGCGTAGAATAAAGTGTCTTTAGAAGAAAGAGTGATCATCTGGGTCAAAAGATGTTGAGTAAGGTGGAAACGAGAGAGTTGGTTCCACCTTTGATGTCACTCGTGATCTAGAAAAGAGTGGTTATGATAGAATGTGAAGGAAATTCCTGATGGAATTCAAGAAATAATGGAGTGGAAAGGAAGTTGAGAATAAAAACTCTTTTTTTGAAATTTTCTAATAAAGGGGAGCAACCAGTAGAAGTAGGTGTGTGGGTCAAGAAATCAAACTGCTGACAGATTCATTTCTTTCAGTCCTTATTTCTGTGTAGAGCTTTGATCCTAATATCAATCAGTTTCCAATTTTACTTTTATTTGCTTGACTCTATGTCACATAGTTTCCGTAGGACTATTCTTCTTCTTTGTACTTCTCGGTGATAATAATATCCTATTTCATGTATAATATTCTACTTCATCCTACTTTTTGTAACCATTTTTCTTTGTTGGTGTTTGTAATATTTACAACTTTTCGATTTTCAGATGGTAGAAATAAACTTTTTAAGGTACATAGTTTTTCTTCCATTACAAAATTTTTTTTTAGAACACATTCCCCAGAATAGTATAGTAGTTTAAGTACATGGATGTTTTGTTTTACTCTACTGTTTCCTTAAAGAATTATGCAAGTTTGTTTCCTTCTTTATTATCCTCAGGATCTGTATTATTAGCTCTGAGCCTACTCACAGTGTACTTAGGGTTCCATGCCTCCTTCCTTAAAATCTGACTGGGCTCCCTCATGCTGTGATTCTCTTCCTCTCTCACAAATGATTGTATAAGACTGAGACGTATCAAATGCAATAGATTTCACTCAGACAAATTCTATAACCTATTATCCAAAAAAACTTAAAAGATGTAGAGTGGGGTCTATTGGATGAGTGGGTCTCGGACTCTGCGGCACATTAGAATCACCTCAGGAATTTTGAATAGTCCTGATGCCCAGTTTTTACTACAGATCCATCAAAGTGAACTGGACTGCTACCCAAGTGTATTTAAAAACTCACCAGATTACAATATATAGCCAAGTTTGAGAATCAGCATGCTAGAACTATTGTGGCAGGGTACAGCAAAACTTTGCCATCTCGACACACCCTTTCTCTTTCAAGGGTGTCTCTTTTAAATCAGGTTCTCACTCAAGAGTGAGGCTGGCTAATCCCAGCAGTCTGTTGCTATGCCCCCTTCTCAGGTAGGATTGACCAGCATACCTCGGAAGGCTTGCAGGGGGTATACACTGCGGAAGGGTGCACACAGCCTGTGGCCCGCAATCCAGCCCACTAGACTAGTGAGTTAGTGGGGTACTTGTGAGCTTCAGACTCTCGGGGTCCTGCCAGGGCTTGTCTGCCTTACTGGCTCTTCCAAGACTCAACACTTGGTCTCCCTAGATTGATATTATCAATTTTTTTTTATCTTTACTGTAGCATTCTGTGCTTCACTTTCTGAAATAGTTGGCAGGGTTTTTGTTATATGTCTTTCTGTAGTATTTGCTGCTATTATGGTGTGTTTAGTTTCAATTTTCTCTGGTAGATTTGCCTCTATGAATTACTGCACTATCCCAGTGCCTAGTACCACTGGTAAGGAATAAATATTTGCTGGATGAATTAAATAATAATAAAATGGAAAGGGATTATTTTATGTAATGAGTTTTAAGTTAAAGTTGGATAAATTGGATGATGAGACTATTATTGAGTGTGAGGATAGATTTCTTTAGAATATCTTGCAAAGAAGTGTCTTTGTATTTTATTTTCTAATATTGTCATCATCTATATGTAGCTGAAAACTTTCAGAGTCCAACCTTATGGCTATACTTTTATTTCTTTTGTTATTGTCCCACAAGACAAAGTGACTTGACTTCTGTGAACAAATTGGGCATGATTTGTCATAAACATCACAACAAGAGAAGGAAGCTTTGGGAAAGTGGCTGCCCTTTGATGTAGTGGGTGATGATCCTCATTGTTGTTGCTTTTATTTTAGGATTGGTTTTGGGGGACATGGGCCCATATCTGGCCTATCCCCACCTCAGGGTTTCCCTTAACCCTTGACAACTATGCACCTGGTCACATTTTCCTACACTTTCATGTCTCACTTCACTGTTCTAGGACTTACTTACTTTCCTGGGATCATGAAGCTCCTAGATCATAGGACAGAAATATAGCATTTGGTTATTCTGGCCTGAAAATATTTGTGACTATAAGCCCTGCAATGAAGATATATTTAAACATGAAGAAATGTATTCATTTTAAAAGATGGGTGACTCTTACTATTTTTTCCCCCAGAAAACATTTGCTCTATATTTCTGCTTCTCTGGGCTAAGTTTTGGGATTCAGAGGACCATAGTGTGGACTCTTCTGGACTGAGTTATAATAAGGGTGGCTCATACATGAGATAGGTTTCTAAGTTGCTTGGTTATTCTACAAAACTCCTTATTGAAACCATCCTTCTCAGGATGGTGTAACAAAATGCTGTGGACTTGGCACCTTAAACAATAGGCTTTCCTTTCTCAGTCCTGGAAGCTAAGAAGTTCAAGGTCAAGGTGCTGGCAGATTTGGTTCCTGGTGAGGAACTCCTTCCTGGCTTGTAAACAGCCACTTTCTTTCTGTGGGCTCATGTGACTTTTCCTTGACCCGTGCACATGCAGAAAGGAAGACAGGAATATTTTTCTTGTGCTCCCTTTGCATAAGGACACAGATCCTGTCATGGTTCCTTTGCCCTCATGACTTCAATATTTCCCAAATGTTGTACTTTCTAATACCATCAAATTGGGGTTTAGCATCCACCACAGAAAAATAACTGTAAGTTCATCTATTTTTAATGAATAAAGTAAAATAAGAAATTTTCCTATAAGACCTGCCATCTTAGTCTTGTTTCTTTGTGATTAATCTAATACAATGCTTTCCCTAACATATTGGAACTCTTTTTTAACCAAATAAAGAGTTAATATACAAATTCATCCTTTCCAATGTAATGTGTTATAAGAAATATGGATTTCTGTTCATGGTACTTTAAAAGACAAGTGTTTACACTTCTCTCTCCAATTAAACCCTGCATATTTGGGGACAGTAGGGCTGTTGCTTATTATATCATACATCAGAGGGTGAGCCCTGCTCACTCTCAGAAGTTTGTGACTATTTTTAGAAGCAATAAAATTATTCAGTTTGAAAAATTTAGAATTAATTGGATGGAAGGCCTTACTGAATTAGTAAAATATTTGAGTCAGTAGAAATTTACTAATGCTTTGAGTACCAGGGACTTAAACTAAGTTTTAAGAAAACTCTGCCCTGAGAAGTATAATTTACCCACTGCTTATACAAATGTTTTTTGAAACAGTCTCAAAGTACTTTAATACCACTATTGTCCTTCTAACTCACTAAGTTAAGGCAAATTTTAATAGAATTTTGATCTCAATTGTCATGAAATTTGCAGCATTGTGCCTGGATAAGTAAGGCTTAACATGATACTATTTAGGGATTTTTTTTCTCATTTATGTTGAATATTTTTTTAAAAAACGACCACATATTTGAATAAATCAACTTGAGACCTTGTGTCTATTTTGGTCATAGCTCAAAGAAAGTTTTCCAACACCTTTTCCATTTCTAGACTTTCAGTAGTATCCATTCTAGGAGTATTTTAAGTGGTCCCAGGAGAAGTGGGACCTAAACTCCTTGGGCTAACTTTTCTGTATCCAAATAGAAGTTTAAAACTCTCTCTTTGTCTCTGAAGAGAAAACTGAAGCCGCTGGGTCTTTTCCTTGCAGGAGAACGCCGTGAACGGGGAGCACCTCTGGCTGGAGACCAATGCCTCAGGTGACCTCTGCTACCTGGGAGAAGAGAACTGCCAAGTCCGATTTGCAGTGAGTGTGTTCTAGGCTCCTGCTCTGTCCCCGGGGAGGACCTCTGGGTCTGAGGGCAGAGGGGGTCTGGTGCCTGGATTTCCCAGGAGAGTCCTTGTGAGGTAGAAAACTTTCTGGAGGTTTTCAAGGTTTACAGAGCATTTATGAAGTGAACATAGCTTGCAGGTTGTCAGTTTTTGTGGCTCCAGGGTTTGACTATACAGGTGAGACCTTGGTGTGACAATGGTGCTTAAGGATGACACCCAGGGTAGGTTTGTGTGTGTGTTGGGGCTGGGGAGAGGGTGCATGTGACAGAGGGAGGGTTGCTTGTGTGTGGAGGAAGGGGGTAATCTCTTCCATGTGGGGTCCAGCATTCCTGGTGGGAGAAGAAGAAGTGGGGTGCAAGCATCTGTGCTGAAGAGCGGTGTAGGCTTAGCAGCTTATCCCCACTGTTCTGAACAATATCAGTATCCAGGTCAATCAGAGCATTTTTTTTGATTATTAAAATTTATTTTGTGTCCCTATTGAGAACAGTCTGTTTAAGTTTAAAATTCTCTTTAGGTTCTGTGAGAAAAGCCCATGGGCCATGCATACAGTACTTTATGAAGAAACTAAAACTTTAATGTTGGGAAAGTGAAGTTAAAATTTTTGCCTTGTTTAAAATTATTGGTCTAAAAAGAAAGTGATGGGAAACTTCGAATAGTAAAGAAAGAAAGAAAGAAAAGAGGTGTTCTTTCATATCTGATAATTTACATAGTACTTAAATTTTTTGTAATACTTGTTAATGTATGAAAGATTTGGAACAAAATGTAGGGCATTGAAATTTCAAGCATGTATGTGTCTGTTAATAACTAATGAGGAAAAATTGAGGTTTTATCAAAGTTGATAGAAGATACTTTTATCAGGCTGCCTAGAATGGCCAAGTCCCAGAACCAAGACTTTTACATCACATTAGCAGCTTTGACCCCTGGAAGAGGTTTTACTTGGAAAAAAAATTGAGGTTGGGGTGGGGGGAAGATCAGGTTTTTCTTGAGTGAATTTGGGAATAGCAAAAGGTCAAGGAGGAGCCCAGATGAACAGGGTCTGAGTCGGAAGTCAGGAAACCTGGATTTAAATCTCAGCATTAACACTCACTGTGTGACATGAGAATTCATGACCTTTGGTTCTTGGCTACCTTCCAGATAGAAAAAGAGTGTAGGATTAAATTATTTTAAATTTTGCTTCTAACTCAGATCTGTAATTAATCGTTTGCATTTCTCTTCTAATCTGGTTGTAAATTCAATTGATTTAAATATCAGCATTTCAACTTTATGCATATGTATTTTTAATTAAAGTATAATTGCATGGAATTTGATTAAATTAACGAAATCCATGAGAAGCTCAGCTGTTTGGACTAAACTGCTATAAATAATGAATCAACATTAGGGTCTCAGTTAATTTCATAAACACTGGTCTTGGGATATCAATAATACAAAATAGAAAAAAAGGAAAGCCACTTTTGCTTCACATGGAATTTATGCTGATCCTGCTGTCAACCAATGGGCTAATTTGTTCCAGACTCTGCCTTATCTCCAAATGGCTCCCTTTTTGGTCCTTTTCTGATATTCACTTTGGGGCAGATACATGTCGCCTCCATTGACAAATACATGAATAATCATACACATCCTCCTTCTACCTTGTATCAGTAAATAGCACTGCTAGCCACTAATTGGTTATTATTTGGTCACTGTTACCTCTAGGCCAGAGGAAATACCAAAGAGGATAAAGGGAACTGTAGGCTGGAGTATCAGGTAACCCAGTTGTGAGAATCCCCAGTACTGGGACCTCTTGACTCAGTTTACAAAGTGTCTAGAAGATAAAGAGTTTTCCTCCTTGTAATGTTGATTCACCAAAGGAATAAGTCAGTGAGGAAGGGGAGCACCCCACTGTTCCTGAAGACTCAGCCTCTTTGCCTAGAAGTGCTGTTTTGAGGATTTGGTAAAGCATTGCCTAGGAGGGGCTCACTTTCCACAGGGACGGGCAGAACCGATTAAAAGAAGAAAACCAGAAAGGACAGGAACAGGTGATTCATAGCAAAACTGCCAATTGCCAATCCATACCTGAAAATCAAAACAAAGCCACCCAAGTTAGAACAACTCGGAAGAGCCAACCTCATGTGCCTCTTCAGTTAGCAAAGGTATTCCAAGTGATGGCACTTTCTGCTGGTGGCCTCAGGCTGAAATGGGGTCTTGTGATCAGCCCGCAGGAGTGTAGATGGATGCACTTCACAAAATTGGTAGTGTGTGGTAAAGGCTTTAAAAACCTTTCAGCTCTCTCCCCCACCTCATACCTTGTGAGGTAGGTGCCAGCTTTGAGATCACGTTTTGGGAGAGACATTGACAAGCAGCAAAGAACCCAGATGAGAGTGTCCAAGTTGGTTCAGGGTGTGGGACCTTGTGGTAAAGAAAAGCTGAAGAACCTGGGTTTGGGCTGAGTATTAAGGAGGGAGGGTAGAGAGAGGTCTTCCAGGATATTTAGAGCCGCTGTGAAGACTTGAGTTTGGTTTTAGGGAGATGGAACAGGTTGTCAGCCTAGAGTCCACTGACTGACAGTGGATCCACACTCTGTGGTGCACAGACATCACCTGGGAAAAGCCTGTGAACCATGTACATTACTGTTTCCCGCCTTGCTCCAAATGCCGATTTAGTTACGCCTAGAGTTGGACTTGAAAGTCTGGGATTTTAACAAGCATCTCAAATATTCTGGGGCAGATGGTCCACAAAGTTAACTTCAAGAAATACTGTAGTATAAGTATGTTAACAAACAGAAACCGTCCTGCTGTCCAGATGGTCCAGCTGGAGAAATGGTCTCAAAGGATGTGTCCATGGATAAGCTGAATGACCATCTTCCAAGGATGCTGGAAAGGGAAAATGAGCACCTGCTGTGGACAAGGGTCAGACAAGGGGAAGCCCCCAGTTTAAATGTCCTGTTAGCAACTTTCTTAGATTTTGTAAAAGAATCCTGCATCCTTACACTGTGTATTACATTCTCATTTCTTTTAGCGCACCACTTTTGAAGAATGGCCACCTGTTATGGTTGGGATCAAATTACCATAACCAGGAACCAGATTCTGCCTGCAGGCTTCTAAACAAAGTTCAGGCATCCTGCTTTGGGGGGGGGGGGGAGGAGAGAATCTATCACTGAAGACAGGCCTGTGCTCACTCTTTACCCTGTTTTAGCAAAGCAAATGTCACAAGTAAAAGTTAGGAGAAGGAAGAAGTCAGTGTGGGCTGAGGTAGACAGAGGCCACGTCACAGAAATGGTGCTGGAGTTCAGCTTTGAAAGATGGTTAAGATTTACATAAGTGGAGTTGGGGAAGGAGAACATTTTGGGGAGGGAGAACAACAGGAACAAACTCAGAGGCAGGAGCAATCTCTGAACAAGACAGACAGTAACTGTGAGTCACACATGAGCACATCAAAGGGCCTCTGTTAGGGAAGCATAGAAGGAATGCCATGGGGGTGTTTCCATGTTTTCTGAATCAAAACTTGGAGCATGGATAAATGTTGGTATAACTATGGAATACACCATCCACACCAAGACAATGTTGAGGGTGAAAGTGGCCAAGGATGATAATGATGCGATGGCATTAGGGGTTAACCACAGCTGCATCAGAGACACTAAGGCAGTTCCTGTAGCTTACAGGGACATCAGAGCATCTATTAACTAAGCTCTCCTGCAAAGCCAGGGCCTCCTGCTGCCATATGGATCAATAATTGGGCACTGATATTGAAGGATATTGAAAACAAGACAGTGACCTCAGAGGATCTCGGACTGTTACAGGAGTTTGCTCCAAGGCCTCAGGGCTGAACCACATGATCTTTTTTTTTTAAAAAATCTTTCCTCTTCTATTCTCTGGTGACAACATCTAATACAGTAGAACTGTGAGCAGATATTTACAGGGATTAAGCTGGTTCCCAAATCAGCAATAGTTTCCAAATTAGTAACTGTTTCTTTTTCTGGTTTAGGGAACAGAAAAGGATGTAAAAATAATAAACTGGAGTAGAAGGATCACTGTTTTCCAACCTGATTATAGAAAGAAAAACCTGAAATAAAACTCCAGTCAGGACCACTCCCACTTGGTAACATTGATTGCTATTTATATTTCTTCATCTGTGTATTCTGTCAGTGTCTGTGGGCTGAGGACCCAGCACCAATGATCTCGAGACAGTGCTGAGAGTGACAACTTCTTACCTGTAACTCACACCCTGACTGGTTATTGGGTACTCTGATAGCAACATCTCATGCCCCAGTGATGGTGTGTACAAAGAGGTCCAGCCAAGTGTCTGTACCCAGAGGAACTTCCCCCTTCACTAAGAATCTAGAGAGCTCAGGCCAGTGCACACCTGGCTTCCCACTTGAAGGTCACCTGCCCACATAGATCTGCAGACATACATGCCAAAGTTGGTCACATGGGCTGGGCAGGCAGAGATGGACAGCATGGATTGTGAACAAATGGACTTTTTGTGGTACAGACTAGGGTTTGAAAACCCACAGTTCTGGTTATATTCTGTGTGAACTGTAGACACAACATTTTATCTCTTTTTGCTTTGGTTTCCAGATTTTAAAGCATTGTTGTTAAGGTTGACCTCAGAGATCGTCATTTCTGAGAGAGGATTGTACTCCTGCAGGACATTTGACTCCTTCATTTTACATTTTAAAATGTTGACTCCCAGTCTGGATATGTTGCATGTAATGTGTGCTATGGGCATGAAATATATTTTAAAAATAATGAAATGTTTCTGCAGATGATTCTGTAAACCTTCAGGGTAGAGAGCCACTGATCAACTTCATAAAGAGTGTCAGGACCAAATGAGGTGGTCTGGTTTTTGCACCTGGCAGATCGTGGCAGTAGTGAGTTGAACTGTGTACTCCAAAGAAGAGGTGCTGATGTTCTAATGTCCCAGACTTTGGAATATGACCTTATTTGGGAATGGGGTTGTTGTCAATGTCATTAGCTAGGATGAAGTCATACTGGAGCC